GGGAGGGAGAGGAAGAGTCTGCCGTGGTGGAGGTGGGGTAGTCATATCCTCCTGGGAGGGAATAAGGAGCATGCGGCTCAGAAGCAGCAGTTCTGGAGCCAAAGGCCAAGATGGGTTCAAGTATGACTAGAAAGAAGGGTTCTTATGAGTCTGGGGTGGAGGAGACCTTATGGGAGGCTGAAGATGGCCCAGAGGCCGGATCCTGAGGCCCTGGGTGCTGCCCTGAGGGGCCCACCTTTCTGCTGAAGGCTGCCAGGGCGGTGGGGCATCTCACGGGGCCCTTCCCCCCCTCCTGCTCCTTTCCCCTGCTCCATCTTGGCTCTTGACTCTTCCTTCTCTCCTTTTTCCCTGTTTCCAGCTCCTTGCTGTCTAATCTGCCGCTGCTGCTTGAAACTTTGCAATTCCTCTGACATGACTTTGATCCTCCTCTCTGAAGCTTCTCCCCTGGGGAGAGAGATAAATACTTGCTTTTGTGCTCACCCAGTCACTCTGAGGCAGTACTTCCCGCCGCTGAATTTCCATTTTAACTCTAACCCAGGAGCCTGCTGACTCTCTGATTTCCCACCACCACCATCACCCCCACACTGGGAGAGCTCTGTGCGTGCCATGCTCTGTGAGCTAGAAGTGATCGCAGCCCTTGGAGGCTGTGCCCATTTTTCTGCTCCGTGGAAGTTCAAGAGGAGAGGGACGAAGCTGGATGGAGAGGGACGGCAGCCGGGGGTCAGGGCTGACCGTGGCTTGGCAGAGCCTTTGAGAAAGAGGAAATCAATCCATGCTCCTGGCCAGCAGCCGCTGACCTTCACCAGCTCAAGTCCACAAACAGTCCTCAAAGCCAGGAGCTTGTCAAGCCCCGTATTTGCAGAAATCAGCATCCCTATTTGGAAACTGCAGCCGTACTGCAGACACACTTGGCAGGGACCCCTTCCCCGGAGAGCTCGTCCCATCAGCCTTTGGGCTCAGGAGCCAAGAATTCCTGCAGGCAGCCACGTTTCAAGTTGGGAATGGGAAATAGGTGACTCAGTGTTTTAAAATTTCTTCTAGAAGCCTTGTCTTGCTCCTGTGTATTTCTGTCTAAATTGGGCTGATTAGCAGAGTTCCCACCCTCCCTTCCCCCAGCTTCCTCACACATATTGGAAAGGACTTTTTCATTTGGTGAAGAAATCATAAACACTTCTGAGCTGCAGGAATAGGAGGTCCCTGACTGACAGACCTTCAGTTTTTCAAGAGACCCAGATGTACTGACACGCTGGTCAGGGGAGGGCTGGAGCCCACTTATGATAGCAAAGGGCCGGCCTGCAGCTGGCCCGGGGGCTCCCCGGAGCTCGGGTGCTGGGTGTCAGAGGGCAAGGCCTTCGTGCCAGAGGTGACCCTGAGGTCCCACAGCTTTGTTGGATCCTGGTTTAGAATAAAGTAAATAAGCTTGTCAGACGCACGGGCTGCACCTACTAGGTGCTTCTAGAGGGCTGGCTGGGGACCCCAACTCCCGGCTCTAATCCATGATTTAAGAAAGAACGTGTTGGGGCACCTGGGTGGCGCAGTCGGTTAAGCGTCCGACTTCAGCCAGGTCACGATCTCGCGGTCCGTGAGTTTGAGCCCCGCGTCGGGCGCTGGGCTGATGGCTCGGAGCCTGGAGCCTGTTTCCGATGCTGTGTCTCCCTCTCTCTCTGCCCCTCCCCCGTTCATGCTCTGTCTCTCTCTGTCCCAAAAATAAATAAACGTTGAAAAAAAAATTTTTTTTAAAAAGAAAGAACATGTTCCAGGTTCCAAACGATCAGCTTATGAACCTGCCTCTGGAAATCCACATCAGCTCCATTACCTAAAAGCACATAGTTCTGTGGGTTTTGAGGAGACTTAAGTTTTCTCAGGGCAAAAAGGAGCTCCATGGAATTGGGGAGGAGCAGAACAGCCAGGCCTCAGCAAGGACCTGGCCATTCTCTCTTCTGCTTCTGTGTCTGTTGTCTCTTTAGTGTACCCCACGCCAGTGGGTTCATTGTTGCTCTGAATAAATAATACTTGAATTTGAGGCAAAATTCAAAAGGGCTGTAAAAAAGCAGTCCAGTGAAAAACCCACCCCCTCCTCTGTCATCCAGTTCCCCTCTTCAGGGGCAGCCAAAGTTACCAGCTTCTTGGGTCTCCTTTCAGGGATTCTTTTCCTCTGCTGTCACGTGCACTATGTATGTATGTATGTATGTATGTATGTATGTATGTATGTTGTCCTTTTATAAGCCAAAGAATAGCATACATTATACACTTTCTACAGATGACTCTACTCTCACATCTTTGAGTTCCCTCCATGTTGGTGCATAGAGTGTGTCTTTATTCTTTTTTTTTCACGTTTGTTTGTTTGTTTGTTTATTTATTTGAGAGCATGAGCAGAGAGGGAGGGAGAGAGAATCCCAAGCAGGCTGTGTGCTGAGAGTGCAGAGGGCCTCGGGGCTCAGTTTCATGAACTGTGAGATCATGACCTAAGCCGAAATTAAGAGTCGGACACCTAACCAACTGAGCCACCCAGGTGCCCAGGAGTGTCTGTATTCTTGGCTGCAGCTATGTAGTGTTCCATTGTGTGTATAAACATGATTTAAATTAACCTGTTTCAGGGCGCCAAGGTGATCTCATGAGTTCGAGCACCACGTTTGGGTGTAGAGATTACTAAAGAAGAATAAATCTTAAAATTTTTTTTTTTTTTTTTTTTTTTTTTAATTAACGTGTTTCAGGGGCACCTGGGTGGCTCAGTTGGTTAAGTGTCTGACTTCAGCTTGGGTCATAATCTCATGGTTTGTGAGTTCGAGCCCTGCATCGGGCTCTGTGCTGGCAGCACAGAGCCTGCTTGGGATTTTGGTCTCTCTCCCTCTCTCTCTGCCCCTCCTCTGCTCGCCTTCTCTCTCTGAAAATAAATAAAGTTACAAAAATTAACCCATTTCACATTGATGAAGATTTAGTTTGTTTCCAATCTTTTATGCTTATAAACATGGCTCCTATAACCTTGTGTATAACATACGACCTCGTATATATGCTAGTCCACACAGACGGAGGTGAATCTGTGGGTCAGTGCCCCAAGTGGACTCGTGAGGGTTTTAATAATGTCCTTCTCTCCAGGCCAAAGGACGCCATTCGAGCCCTGAAGAAGCGGCTCAACGGGAACCGGAATTACAGAGAAGTCATGCTGGCGTTAACAGTGAGTGCTGCCCTCGTGGGGCATGGGAGTGTGGGGGGAAGCATTTGGGGAAATCCACATTCCTGGCCTTGCCCCACCCACAGGGCCTTCCCACTGTCCACTCAGCACAGCCTCCGGTAGCCATGGCCTGTGGACGGCTTGGTGCAAGTGCCACTGGAGAGCAGCAGAACCTTCCCGTAGTGACCTTGGGTTTTCCTGCCTTCCCCTGAAATGGGGGATGGGCTGCAGTCTGGTCCATACCAGCAGAAGATAAGGCATGGGCAGCACTGACTGCTACAAAATCCCAGAGCAGAGAAGCCGAGAAAAGGCCTGGGTCTGGCTGTCCTTGCTGCCACCAGTCTGCTGTGACACAGCGAGGCCAGCTGCCTCTCCAGGTGTCAAGGTTCCTGCTTCCAAACCTGCCGACTTCCACCCAGAACCTGCCTGGGACTGTGCTGAGCTTTTCAGGGGATAAAGCGATTGTTTACAGTAACCTTCCCAAATAGATTTCATCATTCCCTCATGCAGATGAAGAAATGGAGACTCAGAGAGGTCCGGGGGTGCACCCAGACTTCGTGGCTAGTGAATGCCCGGCTGTAAATTATGGGGTAAAAACTGGTCATTGGTGCAGAGGTTCTGGAAAAAGTCAGCCTAGTGACTCAGGAAGGAACAGATCAGATTTTTGCCCTTTCTTAAAATGTTAGGAAATTCAAAGGGACAACTTCAGGTGTTATTTCTGTCCCGAAAGCTAACAGTTACTCAGATGTGGCAAAATCTGGGCCACAGTGAGTTCTCACAATGAAAACTGTTAACAGGTCAGCACGTGGGCTTTTCTGTAGGTTTGAATAGTTTGTTTATCCCAAACAGCTCTAACATGTTTCCTTTTAAAGCAGGAAAACTGTTTGGATTTTTCACCCAAGTGAAAACCCAAGACTTATTAGGAGAGAGTTCTCTGCCAGGGAATTGGGGTTTGAATAATAAAGAAGAAACAGACTAGCTGAGAAGTAGTGACTTGAAAGCTTTTGGTTTTTGCTTAGAATTTGATCCTTGGCATTCATGAAACCCAGGGTGATACCCAAAGTGAATTGTTTTCAGTAGCTAAAATCACCAGGGAATGAGTTCTAACATATCAGAACATTTTCCTGGTACCTGCCCCTCTACACACCCAACCTAATGGTAATCGTGTTGCTTGGATGGAAATCTTTCTAAAGGGGCCTCTGCCTTTACTTCCTTCTGGAAGACCATTGAATGGTATTGAACATTTCCTGATGGTCAGGTCTGTTGTTATTATTATTCTCCCAGTTTTAACGAGATTATTGACATGTAACATATGTAAGTTTAAGGTACACAGTGTGATGATTTGATACATGTGTATATTGCAAAATGATTACCACAATAAGGTTAGTAAACACCTCTGTCTACTCACGTGATTACCTTTGTTGGGGGAGGGGAATAGCATTTAAGATCCAATTTCTTTCTTTTTTTTTTTTTTTTTAAAGTTTATTTTTGAGAGCAAGAGAGACAAAGAGCATGCACACGCGCTGGAGGGGGAGAGAGAGAATCCCACCCAGGCTCTGTGCTGTCTGCATGGAGCCGATGCAGGGCTCCATCCCACGAACTGTGAGATCATGACCTGAGCCAATATCAAGAGTTGGATGCTTAACTGACTGACACCCCTAAGACGCCCCTGGGATCTAATTTAACTGTCAAATATATACTGCAGTGTTGTTAATTATGGTCCCCATGCTCTCCATTAGATCCCTAGAACTTAGTCATAGCTGGGAATTTGTACCCTTTGACCAATGTCTCCCCATATCCCGTGCTCCATAGCCACCATTCTACTCTGTGGCTGTGAGCTCAGCTTTTTTAGGTTCTGCATACAAGTGAGAAACACTAGGTATTTGTTTTTCTTTTTTAAATTTTAGTTATTTTTGAGGGGGAGAGAGAGCATGAGCAGGGAAGGGCAGAGAGAGAGGGAGACTGAGAATCCCAAGCAGGCTCCACTCCGTGAGTGCAGAGCCTGATGTGGGGCTCAAAACTCACGAACCGTGCGATTATGACCTGAGCCAAAAATCAAGAGTCATACACTGAACAGACTGAGCCACCCGGGTACCCCTGTTTTTCTTTATTTAACTTACTTCATTTAGTATAATGGCCTCAAGCTCCATGTTGTTGCAAAAGGCAAGATTTCCTTCCTTTTTATGGCTGAATACTATTCCAGTGTGTGTCTGTACACATGGATAAAGAAATACGACATACGCATATATCTCAACGTTTTGTCTATGCGTTCATCTATCAGTGGGTACTTACGTTGTTTCCGTTTGTTGGCTATTGTGAATAATGCTGCCGTGAATATGGGGGTACAGATATCTCTTTGATACCCTGTTTTCATTTCTTTTACATAGATACGCAGAAGTGGGATTGCTGGATTGCAGAAGTGGGATAGCTCTATTTTTAATTTTTTAAGAAACCTCCATACTGTTTTCCATAGTGGCTGCACCAATTTACATTCCCAGCAGTGCCCATGGGTTCCTTTCTCTCTACATCCTCATCAGCACTTGTCTCTTGTTTTTTTGATACTAGCCATTGTGACAAGTGTGAAGTGATCTTTTATTGTGGTTTTGATTTGCATTTCCCTGATGATAAGTGGTTGAGTACTTTTTCATGTGCCTGTTGGCCATGTGTGCATCTTCCTTGAAGACATGTCTATTTCAGGGTTTTTTTGCCCATTTTTTAAAAAGTTTATTTTGGGGCGCCTGGGTGGCTCAGTCGGTTAAACATCCGACTTCAGCTCAGGTCACGATCTCGCGGTCTGTGAGTTCGAGCCCCACATCGGGCTCTGGGCTGATGGCTCAGAGCCTGGAGCCTGCTTCGGATTCTGTGTCTCCCTCTCTCTCTGCCCCTCCCCCATTCATGCTCTGTCTCTCTCTGTCTCAAAAATAAATAAACGTTAAAAAAAATTAAAAAAAAAAAGTTTATTTATTTTGTGGGTACCTGGGTGGCTCAGTTGGTTGAGTGTCTGCCTCGGTTTTGGCTCAGGTCATGATGTCACAGTTTGTGGGTTCGAGCCCCACATCACGCTCTGCACTGATGGCACAGAGCCTGCTTGGGATTCTGTCTCCCTCTGTTCTCTGCTTCTCTCTCTGTTAAAAATAAACAAATTTTTTAAGTTTATTTATTTATTTTTTTAGTAATCTCTACATCCATCCTGGGGCTTGAACTTACAACCCCTAGATAAAGAGTCACGTGTTCCAACTGAGCCAGCCAGGCCATCTTTGCCCATTTTTAATTGGATTGGTTTTGCTTATTTGTTTGTTTATTTGTTTGTGTATTTATTTGCTATTGAGTTGTTTAAGTTCCTTATGTATTTTTGATATTAATCACTTATCAGGTAGATAGTTTGCAAATATTATTTCCCATTCTGTGGACTGCCTTTTTATTTTGCTGATCGTTTCTTCTGCTGTGCAAAAGATTTTTAGTTTGACGTAGTCCCACTTGTTTATTTTTGTTGCCATTGCTTTTGGTGTCATAGCCAAAAAAATCTTTGCCAAGACCAGGGAACTTTTTTCCTGTGTTTTCTTTTGGTAGTTTTATGTTTCACATCTTAAGTTTAACTCTTTAGTCCACTTCAAGTTAGTTTTTTGAGTGGTGTAAGATAGGAGTCCAGTTTCATTCTTCTGCATGTCATTATGCAGTTGTCCCAATACCGTCTGTCAAAGAGACTGTCCTTTCCCCCATTGAGTCCTCTTGCCTCTCCTCAAATATTATATGTATATGTGGGTTTATTTTTGGGCTCTCACTTCTGTGCCATTGTCTATGTTTATGCCAGTACCATACTGTTTTGGTTATTGTAGCTTTGTAATACAGTTTGAAATCAGGAAGTACGATGTCCCCAGCTTTATTCTTCTTTCTAGAGATTGCTTTGGCTATTCAGAGTCTTTAATGGTTCCATATGAATTTTAGGATTGTTTCTTCTACTTCTGCGAAATCTGTAGATGGCTTTGGGTAGTATGGACATTTTAATAATATTCTTCCAATCCATGAACACGGGACATCTTTCCATTTATTTGTGTCGTCTTTCCTTTCTCTCATCATTGTCTTATAGTTTTCAGGGTACAGATCTTTTACCTCCTTAGTTAAATTGATTGCTGAGTGTTTTGCTTTTTTCTTCGCTTATTTGTTAATGATTGCTTAGAGGCACCTTTTGTTATTCTGTGGGCTTTGGCTGCTGGAAAACGGCTGCTGTGTGTCTCATGCCCTACAACCCACAGGGACACCGATTCACCAAAGGCACTTTTGACAGAGTCCCTAGAGTGGCCGAGTGGCCCTTGCCAGCCAGGGACGACCTCCTGCATTTCCTCCTGCTCTGCTAGGCTTCAGGGTTGCTTTGTAGCACAGGCCATCTCTCTCCAGGGCATTTCCAAACCTGTGTGTGAGCCCGAAGGTCTAGCCTAGGCCACACTGGCTTTAAAGTCTGCTGTCCTGGAAGATGTAAGGGCGTGCTCCCTAAAGGGTGTGCCTGGGACAGGCGTCCTGGCCCACTGTTGCCCTGAGCATGGCAGGAGAGCCACAGCTGGCCTGCCATGTTGGCCTTCCTGCTCCTCTTTTCTCTTTTTCCACCACACCTGCCTTCTTCCCAGCCTCCTCCCTTCCCTTCCCCACCTCTTCCTGACCAAATAAACCATTCTTCCTGCCACCTGCCTTGGCAGCAGCCTGATGCCTGCATAGGCCAAGTTAGGAGAGGGGATCCTGGAAAGAAGGGGAACTGTGAGTTCCTGGAGGGTAGGGAGAACCCCTCTGGTTCATCCCTGTAGCCCCCGTGGTCGCTGTTAAGAGTGAGTGCTGGTTACCTTGAGATCGTCTGGAATTGAGCACGTACAGAGGCTAAGAAAGAGAATGCCCCCCTCCCTTGGCTGCGGATGACCCAAGGATGCTAAGCTTTGAGGTCTTCCTTGGCAAGCCGAGCAGAACCCAGGGTCTCCCACAGTGCAGGCAGCAGTGGGGGAAAGGAACAGTTTTAACTGGCTCTGCGGTTGCCAGGCTCAGGGCACATGCCAGCCCTGGCCTCCTCAGTGAAGTTACTCCAGGCCTCAGCTTCCTCATCTCTAAAGTGGGATAACACCCACCTTACAGGGCTATTTCAAGGACCAGGTGAAAGAACAAGAAATCTAGTACCTGTCGCCTGTCATCTGAGGGACTCCCAGCTGATCTTAGAGGAGAGCCATGGGGGGAGGTTGGCCCTGTGGCCTCATTGTGGGTGAGGAGACAAGGGCTCCAGAGAAGCCTGACCCACTTAAAGAGAATCTAATTCTGTGAGCCTAAAATGAAATGCTGTAATGTGGGGGGCTCCCACACGGTGCCTGGCATGTAGTCTGTGCTCAGTTAATGTTAAGAGCGTGGGCCTTTCCTGACCGTCACGCTTTGTCAAGGTGACGCCTCATCGCGTGAGCCCAGCCCTGTGGAATGGCTGCCTAAGGTAGCCAGTGATCAGCTCACTGTGGGCAAATGAAGATAACTGAGGCAGCCAGAAATGTCCCCTGTTGTCCGTCACATCCCTGCTAGTTGACTGTGGCATTGGGGGGTACTGGTGTGGGAAGGGCTGGGTGATTGTATGGGTTGGTTTACAGAGAGCTGAGAAGTTCAGAAAGGTGTGTCGAAGGCTGGGGGACACTCCAGTTGGTGCCTCTGAATTCCAGCCAGCCTCTCCCCTGTTGTGTGGGGACGGGAGAGCTTTTCCCGTTCCTCGTGTGTATGACAGCCTTCGAAATGATGGTCATATCACCATAGTCCTCCTTTACTGCCCCACTCCTTGCAGGGCACTGTGTTAGATGCTTCGGACAGACTCCCTCATCCTTACTACAGTCCTGCAAGGGGGCACTCACGTGCCCATATTACAGATGAGGAAGCTCAGCGCAGACAGACTCATTCTGGGCCATTAAGGGAGCAAGTGGCAGAGCTGAGATTCGAGCCCACAATGGCCATCTGGCCAGAACCCACATGCGCCGTGCTTTTCTTAATGCCTATGGCCTGTGTAATTCATTTTTTCCAGACCAGGGATGGGCGAACAGGGTTTGCAGTGAACATGGACCTTGAAGCTGATTGGCAGCTGAGGCCCACAAACCATTTATTCAGGGTACAAAATCCTTAGTCATTGCCAATTTTAGTTGCAGAGGCAGGGTCGTGTGGGGCGTGTGCACCTGTGTGTGTGTGTGTGTGTGTGTGTGTGTGCGCGCGCGCGCGCACACGCACGCTTCCTCGCATAAAAGGGCAAGTAATTCACAGGGTAATTTGGGCTGTCACAGCAGCCCTCTCTGTGACAGAGCCTATGTCCCATTGGCTAAGGTCTCACACCCAGAAGCCCGGAGAGAGGAGTTAAAATGCCAATTTTCAGGGACCACTCAGTCATTTCGATCTCATTAAAACACCAGCGTCCTTCTCATGCAAAACTGGTGCCTCAGTTCCCAACTAATTGCCTGATTCTTGTTCAGGGACAGGCAACTTCAGACAGCAAGGGACAACTGAATTAGAGCATAGGGATGTGGAGCCATCCAGGTCTGACTCTGGAGGAGAAGGTGGGAAGGACCATCCAGGAGAAGGAAGGAGGCATGGTGGGGGTGGAAACTCAGTGGCCTGGGCAGCTCCTCTGGGTCCCACGGTGGTGACCTCTCTTTCCTTTCCTACCTCCTCAGGTGCTGGAGACATGTGTGAAGAACTGTGGCCACCGCTTCCACATCCTTGTGGCCAACCGAGATTTCATCGACAGCGTCCTGGTCAAAATCATCTCTCCCAAGAACAACCCTCCCACCATTGTCCAGGACAAGGTGCTAGCTCTGATCCAGGTAGGGTCAGCTCCCCTTGTCGGGTTTGTTGGCACGGAGTAAGATGGGGCCCTTGACCAGTGGGTCTTCATGCTTTCCCATCATTTGGAGGAAAGAATGGAGGGAGGCCCTTTGGGTTTAAATATGTGTTGCAAAAAGCACCAGTTTTTTACATTCCTCCCGCTGGAATAAAAACCTGAGTGGTAGCTCACAAGCCAATTGACAGAGGTTTCACCAGTTTTCTGGGTGCCTGGATCTCTGTTACCCCCAAGGGCAGGTGGGAGACCTTGATAGGCCTCTGAGCCATCAGGGACATTGTGGGGTAGGAAGGGCCATGCTAGAGTCCTATGCAGGGGCTGGCAAGGCACAGGGTCAGAGCCAGCTCTGTGGCAGGTGGTGCCAGGTTGGGGGAGAGGGTGTTAAGGAGTGATTCACTAAGGAGATGACATTTCTCTTGGACCCTGAAGGATGTGAGGAACTTGGCGGAAAGGTCAGGGTGTGAGAAGTAAGTAGCACAGACAAAGAGAATAACATGTGCGTCAAAGACAGCAGTTGACACGTTTGGGATGTATTCATTATTGATTGCTCTGTAGCAGATTATCCCAAAACTTAAGGGCTTAAAACAACAGATGTTTAGTACCTTGTTGTTTCTGTGGCTCAGGAACTCAGGAGCAGCCTAGATGAGCGATCCTGGCTCAGGAGCTCTCATGAGGTTGCGGTCAAGACGGTAGCCAGAATTGCCTCATCTGCAAGCTCGATGAGCTGGAGGAGCCACATCCAAGGTGACTCACCACATAGCTGTTGGCAGGAGGCCTCCGTGCCTTGCTGACTGTTGGTAGGAGGCCTGAGTTTCTTGCTGTGTGGACTCCTGAGTGTCCTCGTAACATGGCAGCGGGTTTTCCCTAGAGCAAGTGATCCAAGCTGCGGTGCCTCTTGGGACTGAGTCTCAGAAGTCACACACCGTCTTTTCTGTCATATTCTGTTTGTTAGAAGGGAGTCACCAGATCTGGCGTCAAGAGTATGGGAATGAAGCTGCATCTCTTAAGAGAGAGGATGTTTTAAAACCATCACGTGGAGCACAGAGTGTAATGAAGAGTGTCTGGGGCTGGGAGAGGAGGCCAGAGGGATGGTCAGGGTCTTGTGGGCCATACATGCTGACGTTTTATGCTTTGTCCTGTAGGCAGCGGGGAACCACTGCACATTTCTGAGCTAGGTGTACGCAGACAGATCTGGATTTAAAAACAGTTTTTTTTAACTTTTATTTATTTTTGAGAAGAGAGAGACAGAACATGAGCTGGGGAGGAGAGAGAAAGAGGGAAATGCAGAATCCGAAACAGGCTCCAGGCTCTGAACTGTCAGCCCAGAGCCCGACGCGGGGCTCGAACTCAAGGACCTCGAGATCGTGACCCGAGCTGAAGTCGGACGCTTAACCGGCCGAGCCACCCAGGCGCCCCTAGATCTGGATTCTAGACCGAGCACCCTGGTGGTAGGCTGAGAGACACATATGCCAACGAGCATCCAAGGTGGGGCGATTAGTGCTGTGGTAGAGGAAAGATAGGGGCCTGCGGGAGCCAAAAGGAGAGGGTGGGAGTGGGGCCAGGCAGAAGGCACTGCGATCAGGGGTGGGCACCGGGGCATTTGAGGTGGTGGGGGCACCTGAGGTTGGAGAGGAAAGTGGGGCCCCAGCCGGCGGGTCTGCTGGCTTCGTCTGTTCTCTCCCGCATCCTCTGCCTGAAAGCCCTCTTCATCATTGAGACAGCTCCCAGAGCCCTCCCACCACCAGGTTGACAGCACTTCCCCCTCTCCTGTCACCCTCTTTTATGGTCTTCTCTGCTTCTGTGCTCACTTTTCTATCCTCTGCCTCACTCTGAGTTTCCTGAGAGCCCAGGGACATTATATCCCCAGGGTCTAGAGCCGTTGACTGTGTAGAGTAGCTGTCTGATAAGTTGTTTTTCTTAATGAGTGGGTGAATGTAGTTTGCTGAAGCTCTAAGGAAGGGGAGGAGTGTGGGTGACAGCAGGGCCCCTTCCCATGGTTCCTTAGGTTTCCCCTAGCTCTTCATTCTGCCCACCTGGCATATCTCCATGTCTCTCCCTCCCTCCCCCTCCCCACTCTAACTCTCTCTCTTCCTCCACCTCTCTCCATCCCTTTCTCTGTCTGTCTCTCTCTCACACACATACACACACACGCACACGCAGGTACAAACCACCTTACCCTCTTCCCTCCCCACCCCCGCCTCTGCCCTTGACTCCCTCATTCTGGACTTCCCCAGTACACTCCCCTGCCTCAAGACCCCCAGTATTTGATGGCAAGACAATAAATAGTGGCTTTTTCTCACCAAAGGGGGGCACCCCCGCCTGAACCCTCGGCAGGCCCACTGTGGCCATAGGCAAGGTCTTTCTGTAGTCAGACGTGGAAGGAGTCCTTCCTGTGCTTGGCCACCTCCTGACGAGGGCAGCCGTGGCAAGGCTTGTGATCCGTGCCACTGGGACTGTGCGGGGACCTCTGGCTGAGGACACAGGGAGCCTTGTGCACTGACTGTGGCTGTGGTTGTTCCCAGGGGCAGCCCGACCTTCCCATCAAGGTCACCACCTCCTCTCCGCACTGCTTCTCCCAGCTGTGTGACCGCAGCAAGTGTTTTAACTTCTCTGGGCTTCTGCCTCCGTATGTGTACAATGGGGGCCTTGTGTTCCTGCCTAACCTACTCCTGGTCCCAGAGGTCACCCGGAGGCAGCATGGCGGCCGGCACCGTGTTCTGAGGGCTCCCCCTGCTGGCCTGGCAGCAGTGCATGTGCACCGCCTGCAGGGGCGGGAGCAGGAAGGGGCCCTGAGGGCCTCGCTTGCTTGCTCGCTCCTGTCCGGCCAGGATGCACTGGACAGTCTCCCTGGTCCAACTGGGAAAACCCAACGGGCTTTGGATAAGGGTATCGTTCCCGGTGGGCTTGCTTACCTGCCTGGGGGGGAGGGTCCTTCTTCTCCAGGTTCTGGAGCTTCACGAAGAACTTTTATCTTTGGTCATGGCCAACCAACAGAAACAGATAGCATTCAGAGCTGGCAGATGGCTTGGCTTCTATAATGCGGTGAACGAAAGTATAAACAGGATCTTCAGCCTTTTTTAAAATTGAATTATACGTACAGGAAATCACACGTTAAAAAAGCATGTACAACTTGACAAGCTTTTACGAACTGAACACACACGTAGAATCTAGCCTCTGTGTCATGAAGCAGAATGTGACCTGCCCCCAAAGAGCCCCGACTGCCTGGGGTGACCACCTCACAGCCTAGATGGGTTTTTCCTGTACTTTTTAATTAATTTATTTATTTTTAATGTTTATTTATTTTTGAGAGAGAGACAGAGCACGAGCAGGAGAGGGGCAGTGAGAGAGAGGGAGGCACAGAATGCAAAGCAGGCTCCAGGCTCCGAGCTGTCAGCACAGAGCCCGATGCGGGGCTCGAACTCCCGGGCTGTGAGATCATGACCTGAGCCAAAGTCAGAGGCTTAACCTACTGACTGAGCCACCCCTGCGCCCCAGGTTTTTTCCCATACTTGAACTTCATCCGCGTGGACTCTGCAGCAGCACTCAGCCAGGTCTGTGTGTCTGAGGCCTTGTTTGCGGGCCTCACCTTGTCATTGGTGTGACCAGATAGGCCTCCCGTGCCCCCTGCTCGTGTCGCTGCACCGGGTCCCTTTGGGGGAACGCGCCGCCATTTGTGTCTCCTTTCCACTGAACACTCGGTGTTTCCAGTTTGCGGCCTTTGGGAAAACCGCTGCTGTGAACAGCTAGCACATGTCGTTGGGTGAACATACGTATTCGCTGTTATTAGGTACGTATTAAGGCACGTGGGTGAAGTTGCGTCTTTGTTGGCCAAGCACAGTCCCGTATTAGCAGTTTCACGTGGCTCAGCCTCATCCCTGGGAGTGGAATTGCTGGGTGGGGAACGGCCACGCTCTGGTTGAGTGGTTACTCTGGCAGATCCCTGCTGCTCTTTCCCAGCAGCATGTGAGAGCTTTCATTGCGCCCCGTTTTCACCAATGCGTCCTCATTCTGGCCCACCTGATGCCTATGTGGAGGCATTGCATCTTGTCACCCTGTTCTCAACTCCCCCTTTTTTTAAATTAAAAAAATTCTTTTAATGTTTCTTTACTTTTGAGAGAGACAGAGAGAGACAGAGTATGAGCGGGGGAGGGGCAGAGAGAGAGAGGGAGACAGAGAGTCTGAAGCAGGCTCCAGACACGGAGCCCGACAAGAGGCTTGGGCTCACAAACCATGAGAATGAGATCATGACCCGAGCTGAAGTCGGACGACGCTTAACCGACTGAGCCACCCAGGCGCCCCTCAACTCCTTTGAGGAAGAAGATGATTTTATTTATACGTTTAAAAACTGCACCACCCCCGCCTCCCCGCCCAGAGAGTCTGATATTCCCCCCGGAGAGCATGTGCTACTCCCACCATAACACAGAACAGGGCAGGGGGTGACAGATCCCTGGACCTTGTGCCAGCCCGTAAGTGGGCAGCAGGCCACAGTGGAAATGCAGTTAGACAGGAAAGAGGTTCAGTTAAATGTGCGAGTGCCAGAGCCACCACAGGTTCTTCCTCACCATCCTTGCCATCTGGATGTTTCCTGGTGCTCTCCGGAGTCCAGCTGCCAGGAAGTGGCACCGGCCCAGTCCCAGCCCTGCCCTTGGGGAGCTATCGATTTTATGGAGAGACAGAAGCTTGCAGATGATAGAGGGCCAAGGGCCTCCCCAGGGAGCACTTGAGCTGGCTTGGGGATATTTGAGGGGCAGCCCTAAACTCTGAACGTATCGACACTTGAAAAGCTTTTTTTTTTTAATTTTTTAATTTTTTTTTTTT